TTACTTTGCAGTTGCCAATGCAGCTATTCACAGATTACTTTGCAGTTCATGATATTTCCAGTATTCCTGTATTAAGAAATGCAAAGCTGTGTTGATGGGTGTTGTAGTTTAGATGAGTGAAAAAAAAGTTAGACTTATAAATCAAATAGTGCAGTTTCTGTCTTAATGTAGTGTTTCATGGGTCAATATATCGTGGTGGATGTAATTGTTGCTTTCTCAGTGTGAAGGAAGGGAAAGGGCTGAACTTGCCCTCTAGTGTGTCAATAAAGTTAATAAAAGTAGATTGCCCTCTGGTCATTTTCCAGAAACCCAAAACTGTTAGTTCACGTTTTCCTGGTATTTTTGTGAATCTATTCCATGCCTGTATTCTTGATCTCTCCATCTTTACTCACACCTTTTCTTGCTTTTCACAGGGCAAGAAAGACGTGGCTCAGATTTTCAACAACATTTTGAGAAGGCAGATTGGCACACGGACTCCAACTGTGGAATATATCTGTACTCAGCAAAATATATTGTTCATGTTACTGAAAGGGTGTGTAGAAAATTTTTTTGCATGTGTAATTTTGTTACATGTACTTGGTTATATGAGCAAGAAAATTATAGTCTATTTATGGGGCGGCACGGTTAGCGCTGCTGTCTCAGCGCCAGGGACCCGGGTTCGATTCCAGCCTCGGGCGACTGTCTGTGTGGAGTTTGCACATTCTTCCCGTGTCTGCATGGGTTTCCTCCCACAGTCCAAAGATGTGCAGGGTGGGTGGATTGGCTATACTAAATTGCCCATAGAGCCCAGGGATGTTTAGGTGAGTTGGGTTAGACATGGGAAATGCAGGAGTAGAGGAACGGGTCTGGGTGGGATGCTCTTCGGAGGGGAGGTGTGGACTTGTTGGGCCGAATGGCCTGTTTCCACACTGTAGGGGTTCTATGGTTCTTCTATGTTTCTTATTTCAGTTAAGAGGAGAGTTGCAGAGGGCAAGGTCAGCACTGAGAGCCAGTCACTTGTCACTAGCAGTAGTGTGTTGACGGAAGGATGGCAGTGTAAAGCCAGATCCAGGAACCAGCCTCTGTTTTGTTTGGTGAGGAGGGCAGCTTTGAATGAAATGATTAGCTGTTTTTTGCTTAAAAAACTAAAAGTCTGAACTTTTCTAATGCACACTTCCTGAAGCGCCATCTTTGGCTGCTGCTTTCCATCACTTACTGATAATGTCAGTTTTCTCTTTGCGAATATACACTCTTCATGTTTGTATGCATCTCACAGCTGTTTCAGAATACTCGTCAGTTGATTCAAGAATACTGAAAGCACCAACTTTGAAAAGTGGTTCTGAGTTACTGTTGCAATGGATGCTACGATTTTCCTAAGTGTAACCTCCATTATGTTAGTCATGTAGTTATATTCAACATTGTTTTACCCCTTTTTAACCCAAGCACCGCATGAAGTTTATAAGTAATTCCTGCTTGTATTTTGTTTTTAAACTCTGATCAGACTAGAGACAGTCGTCAGCACTTAAATGAAAATGAAGGTTTCTTTGTTACTAGTTTCCCAGTCTAGGAAGGCTAGTTTGAAAACACCAACCGTGAATCAGTGCGTCAGCAATTAGTTGGTTACGCTTCTCTCTTTAATTTGTAGAAAAATGCCTGTGTATGATGCTGGGGTGGATGCTGGTCTCTGGCTGTTGCATCACACTTCATAGAGTAGCACTTTAGCTAATCACAATATATTAATAAATTTAATGATTTAAATGAGGGAACTAAATGTAATATCTTCGAGTTAAGATGACAAAAAGCCTGGTGGGAAGGTGAACTGTGAGGAGGATGCATCGATTCTTTAGTGTGATTTGCACAATTTGAGTGTGGGGAAATGCACGGCAGATGAAGTATAATGGTTAAATGTGAGGTTATTCACTTTAGTAGCAAAAACAGGAAGGCAAATTATTATCTGAGTGGAAAGGGGAGGTGCATCAAGTCCTGGGTGTCTTTGAGCTCCAAGCATGCATGTAAGTATGGAGGTGCATCAGGCAATGAGGAAGACAAAAAGTATGTTACAGGAAAAGGATGTCTTGCTGCAATTGTTACAGGACCTGGTGAGACCACACTGGGCATAGTGTGTGCACTTTTGGTTCTCCTTTGAGGAAGGATGTTGTGGTAAGAGTGCAACAAAATTTTACCAGACAGATTTTTGGGATGGCAGTCTCGAATGAAGAGAGACTAGTTTGGTTAGGACTATATGCACTGGAGTTGAGAAGAATGAGGGGTATGATCTCATGGAAACCTAAACAATCCTAAAAGAAGTGGACAGGGGAAATGCAGAAATGATGGTTTCTGGGAGTCCATAACTTGGGGTGGGGGAGGTCATAGTTTAAGCATGTGGGGTAGGCCATTTAGGACTATTGATCGAGACCGTAGCATTGAATGTTTTCAAGAAGGAAGTAGATGTAGTTTTTGGGAGGAAAGGGGTCAAAGCATATCAAGAGAAAGTGAGCACAGCATACTGAGTTCAATGATCAGCCATGATCATGTTGGATGACCACCTCCTACTTTCTGTGTTTCGATGAATGTAAAATTTTACTGCTATGAACTGGATTTTGAATATTAACCATCAAAGACTCCTGTTAGAGTAATTTAATGCATGAGATTCTTCTAGCCTAGGTTGTTTGTTTATATTTTAAGTAAATTTATTAATGCATTAATTAAGACACTGCATTTTGTTCTACCCAGGTAGATTTTAAAAATAATTAAGTTAAACTGTCCAAATTTGGATGTTTCGATATTTACTTGAAGCAATCCAAAGACGCTGTAAAGGAATTTTTTGTAGCTTTAAGAATTTGTTCTTTGCAATGTGTACAAATGAAATGGCACTGTTAAAAATTATATTTCCATTGATATTATATTGTAGTCTTGAGAGTTGAAAGAAAAGTGGATACTGTACTCATTTGCTTTGTAGCAGTGATTAGTTGCAAACAAGAGTTAATAAGTAATCAGTAGTTCAAGTGAAGGAGTACAATGGAACTTGCGAAAAGCATTATTTACAAAATTCTCAACACATTAAGTTAGAATAAACCGTATGAAGTTAGCACTGTAGGAAAATACTGTGTTTGGACATCTGATGTACAAGGTTATCTAACAGTTTGGAAGATATGTTGAAAATTGAGGTTGTTACTTATCCTAAAGGATCTTTTTGTGTCTTTGTAGGTACGAATCACCAGAAATTGCTCTTAATTGCGGCATTATGCTGCGCGAATGTATCCGGCATGAACCATTGGCAAAAGTTATTCTGTGGGCTGAGCAATTTTATGATTTCTTCAGATATGTGGAAATGTCAACTTTTGATATTGCTTCAGATGCATTTGCCACATTCAAGGTAATTTGCGTATGATGAAGTTTTTTTTTCTTAAGCCGACTGAGGGTGCGCATATTTTTCCTCTGAAGGTACAATATATGCTAAGTACCAATGCAGAGCATAAAACATTTTGGATAACTGACCAGTGTTTGCATCATTGTAAAGTAACTACATATTTCACAAAAAGTTTGGCATTCCCTATATGTATAAGATTATTCACTTCAATCCCATTGTGTTTATTCTTGTTCAGGTATTAAATTGCACAGTCAAACCACAATGTGTGATTTCTTTCTAGGATTTGCTTACACGACATAAACTTCTGAGCGCAGAATTTTTGGAACGGTATTACGATCGAGTAAGTACACGTATGTTGCTTTAGGGAATGGGAGGACCATTTGGATTGTGATCACAACCTTTTCAATACGGCATTTAAAAGACTTAAACATATCATATTTAACATGGCACTTAAAAAGTAGAATCTTGGTGTGCTTTTAAAATAGTCATCCACTTTACTTGGGTGAAGTGGTGAGAAGGGAATTTGAGGGATCTTCCAAGAGCAATACGATTTGCATGGATAATGAGCATTTTGAAATATCTCCCATTTTAAAATGAAATTTAAAAAAAGACTAAAGTCGATGATTTCATGTTTCATTATCCGATGGTCAACTGAATTAAAGTCGAAGTAGAAATATCCTTGAATGTCTCAGAACTTCATCTGAACCAAGATACTGATTTTATTTTATTTTAGTCAGGAGGTAAAATGCACATTCATTATCTCTGGTGGAAATGAATTAATTGCCCAAAGGGAGGACTTTAAAAGATGTTACCTCCTTAAGACTTCTCAACCTCAGCTGCGAGATCCCCTTCCCTTCCTACTAAATAGAGAGAAGTTTTTTTAGTAGACTTGGAGCCATGCTGTTTTTATTCTTCTATATTGAAGAGATCAAGTTGCAGTTTTATTTCATATATAATTTTGCATAG